CTTGCCTCAGTAGGGCTCAACAAATACTAATTCCCATTTTCCCAGTCCATCATCTGGCGAATGGATTGGTGATTCCAGGAAAAGACTGGCCTTATTTCGCCAGATTTAAACATTAGAATGTAGAAATTGAAGGAAATCAGGAACAATCTCCAGACAGGAGCCGTAATGGATTAATAGAGTTAGGTTAATTATTATTAGTAGTAGTAGTATTGAGACTGAGTCTTGCTCTGTCGCTCAGGCTAGAGTATAGTGGCATGATCTCAGCTCACTGTAACCTCTGCCTCTCCTGGGCTCAAGTGATTTTCCTGTCTCAGTCTCCCGAGTAACTGGGATTACAGGCACCTGCCATCACAACCACACCTGGCTAATTTTTGTACTTTTAATAGAGACAAGGTTTCACCATGTTGGCCAGGCTGGTCTGACACTCCTGACCTCAAGTGATCGGCCTCCCAAAGTGTTGGGATAACAGGCGTGAGCCACTGTGCCTGGTTGAGTTAGGTTAATCACACACACACACACACGAACTAAAACAAAACATGCCATGTTACGAGGTGATTAACAGGAATTTCATCCTTCACATGTATACCTATGCTTAAAATGGATATTTTTACCATCTGTCATAGACTATTAAAATGGGTGCTTTTAAATAAGGGAAAAGAGGTATTCGCCCTGCTATTCACAAGTGAAGGGTGGAGGGAAGTGCACATTTTTCATCCTCACTTCCTATATGAGATTTGTTCAAGGAAGTGGCAGTACATGGAGGAAGAGGACGGACTTTGGAGTCAGAAGATGAGAGGGTTTGAACCAGTTCTGCCATTGAGAGGTGAGTAGTGCTGGACACACATTGACTAATATTTTTGAGCTTCAGTTTCCAGGTAAGTGGAGGTAACAGCTCCCTTTCCAAAGAATGCAGTATTGCAGAAAGAACACTGGATTACAAATCAGTGAATTCCTTAGTTCCAATCCCATTTCAGCCATTTACTTGAATGCATACTTGGATCACTTGCCTAATTCCTCCAAGCTTTAGTTTTCTCCCCTATGAGTAAATAATGCCATTTGTCCTTTCAATTTCATAGGCTGGTTTTGAGGATATAATTCAGTACAAAACAAGACAAAACAAACAAAAAAACCTTGTAAATAGTAAAGCAAATATGCTAATGAAAATCTGCTATCATATCAATATAAAATTTAAGCTACTTTTTTTTATCAGATTAAATGTCATTTCAGATAAAATTCTCAAGGGATCTATCTTGTTTCTTTGCCTACTGAAAGGATAAACATTAGGTTTTAATTCTAGTTCTGGCACTTACTTCGTAAGCCCCGTGGTTGCATATCTCCCACCATGCAGTAGTCATTCTCTTTGAGTGGTGTTGACTCTTACCCATCCTCAGCTCCAATGGTGGATCCTGATAAGTCCAAGCCAATCGAGATAATGCCATCCCCTGCCAGGCGATTGCTTCAGGGGTGCAGTTAGAGTGTTAAAGGCTTTGCTTCAATAGTTGGGGTGTGAGTCAGTCACACATCCAGCTGGATGTGAAAGCATGCAACCCTGGGAGCTGCTGGCAGCCATCTTGATATCACCAGGGAACAGCTGAGAAAGATTGCAAAGAAAAGAGCCCTTGCTCTGACAATTATCATGAGCCCCTGGATTAAACTGTGCCTGAAGCAGCATACTTCTGGGCTTTTCTGTTAGGTTGAGGCAACAAATTTTCTTGGTTGGGTTTCTGTTGGTTTCTCTGTTCTTGCAAGTAAAAAACCTTAAGAAATACACCATGTAACCTTGAGCAACTTCCCTTACCCTCTAAACTTCAGTTTCATTATAACAGGGCATAGTAGAATAGAATGCCTACAATAAATAGGGTCACTGTGGGGTTCGACAGTGCTTGAAAAATGCTTAGCACCATGCATAGTTGATATGGTTTGACTCTGTGTCCCCACCCAAATGTCATTTCAAATTGTAATCCCCATGTGTCAAGAAAGGTAAGTGATTGAATCATGGGGGCGGTTTCCTCCATGCGGTTCTCCTGATAATCAGTGAGTTCTCACCATATCTGATGGTTTTAAGGGGGAGTTTTCCCTGCTCTTGCTCGCTCTTTCTTGCCTGCCACCACGTGAGACATGCCTCTTCCCCTTCCGCCATGATTGTGAGATTCCTGAGGCCTCCCCAGCCATGTGGAACTGTGAGTCAATTAATCCCTTTTCTTTATAAATTACCCAGTCTCGGGTGTGTCTTTATAGCAGTGTGAAAATGGACTCACAGTACAAAGTATGCATTCAGTATATGGTAACAATTTTTATTACATTTGCAGCTCTAAACTTTGTGTTAAATGCTTTAAGTATATCATTTCACTTGGTCATTGGTCAAGCTAGGAGGACTTTTTTGGTCCCCATTTTACAATTAAGAAATGAAGGTTGGAGAGTTTATGTGACTTGTCCAGGGTTTCATAACTACAGAAGCAGAGATTTTACAGAGTATGATTGTTTCTCCTTTTTTTCAATCCTTTGAACAGATGATTATTGTACAGTGTCAATAAAATGTTAGTTGAATGCCTATAATGTGCAAAGCATTATAAGTATATAGCAGTAAATATATATGCTGTCCTTCAGTTTTAGAGGATAGTCTCACACTATCTGAATTATAGAGAAGATCACGTTGAGTTTGTGTCTTGGATTTATTAGCATCATGCTCCTAACAACTAAGTTAACCAGCCTATCATCTAAATCCTATAGGCACATGAAAAGTATTGACATGAACAAAGTAGTTCTGCAACTAAGTGTAGAACATAGAGCTTATTTCCATATAAAATTAAATATATATATATATATACACACACACACACACACACCCATACACACATACACACACATCTTGTATTTCAACTGCTATTTAATTTCTTCTAAAACATTGAACTGAACTGTAACATTCCTTTTACATTTGATTCCACTGGTTAAAAAAAGTCTTTTTCATATACTATAAAGATATTATCTCTGCTCTTTCTGACATGGTGTCAACTTATATATGTTTCTAGCAAGTCTGAACAACACTATTAGAAGTGACAATGGGATGGAAGAAGAATAGGTCTTTGCTACATTGTTTTCTTAGGAAATCTGCAGGAAAATCTAATGCTGTGTTTTACTGTTTACCTTTAGGTGACATTCTCCAAGTGTCTTTATGTGTTATGGAGTGCCTTTTACAATACTCCAATCACAAGGCGTGTAAAAAATGATTATATGGAGAATAGTTAATGTAAACCTCTTTATGACCAATGTTGTCTTATGTGCAGATCAGGAAATTCCTTACAAGTAATGTATAATAAGCCCTGAGAAACATAAACAGCCTCCGAACTTGTCTTCTTAACATCTAGATATTTTGTCTAAGAAGATTTAATAGTGTCAGGACACATCCCAAATGAGATTTCACAGGCTTTTACAGGCAGGGGGAGAGGTTCTACTCTCCTACACTGCCTCATCTTCAGCTTTTCATGTCAATTTTGATAGAAGGGTCTGAGAGGAGAACCTATAAAATCAACCTGCAGAAAACACAAGTGGTCCCTGATTTCATAATTATGAGATTTTTACTTATATTGAAGCCATATGTGGGGAAGCTAATGAACAACTGAGAATAGCTTGTTCCTTGTCTTGATAGCTTAGTCTTAGATATCTGAGAGTTGTGAAAAAATGGACAGATTTGTAGTCAGACAGATTCAGCTTTGTTCTATCTAGGTGAGAGACATTGGGTATATTATGTAACTTCTCCAAGCCTATTTGTCATTGTAAAGCGAGAATAATAAAAACTAGTAGGGTTATGGAATAAAGATAAATACAGGGCCCTGTTCATAGTAGTTACACAATACAAAGTAGACCCTTTCCTCTTTAATTCTCTAAGAAAATATTTATTTAATATAATGTATTTCAAGAAAAATGTCCTTCTTAGAAATATAACCTAAGCATAACTAGACTTCACTAGTTTGGGAATACAAATATTAAATAACTCGTATTTCCACATTTATATAATGCAGCAATTTCTGGGCGCCACTGGGGGTGTATCTTGTGCTGCTTCTCTTGTCGTTTTCCTCCAGTCCCCTTGTTGATATCCGCTGCTCAGGAAGGTCAACTTGGGGACAGCGCCTTGCCTCAGCCTCTTTTGATGGGACAGTGCCTTGCCTTTGCCTCTTTTTCTTCTCTGGGAACCCGAGATTCCCAAATGGTAATCTCATGGAGCAATCAAATGACACAACCTTGTTAAGACTTCAGTGTACCAGGAACATGCTGTGTCTCTGTGGAAATGCCCTCTTCCCAGTTCTGTTTCTTGCTTTGTCATCTGAACCGCTAACTGTACTTCTTTTGCCTCCCTATGAAAATGTGGCACATATACACCATGGAATACTATGCAGCCATAAAAAAGGATGAGTTTGTGTCCTTTGTAGGGACATGGATGCAGCTGGAAA